GGATGGTGACGACGATGATGATATTCGCTCTCCATTATCCATGTGATGCTTGTATTATTACCATATAATGGTGAGTGATGGCATAATGGGTGGAGGGTAGAGCGAGGCAGCAGGTGCTTGTGGCACAGCCGGAGATAATACCGTGTCTGCGGCCGAGTTATATTTAGACCTGGCTTTAAGTACCTCATTTGTGTTAATGACGCAGTGATTACGTCCACGGAATCAAGCGCGGGTAAAGCTGCTCTCCGTTCATGTTCCCCCTGTGATGCATTGGTCACACACGCACGCACATGCACACGCGCGCGCGCACGCACATGCACACGCGCGCGCGCACGCACACACGCTGGGTGTGGATGGGGGCCTGGTAGCCCCCTGACTACCAGGATACCAGGATATTTCATCTTATTCATTAGAATAAGATGAAAACTTTCACCCTGTTCTAATGTGAAAGAATAAGAACTATTTAGCATGGGTATATAGTACATAAACAAGGCAACAATGCTATAAAAAAGTCCCCAAATAAACCACAAAGACATTATTAATATTTTGTTCTATCAGAATAGTGACTAAACGGAATTCCTTAAGAAGTGAAGTTGTGGAGACTGACTCCTACACAGTTTCACTTGTAGATTTAGGCTCTAGAAACTGTTCATGACTTAAGTGAAGTTTGAGAGGGGGGACCAAAGAGCTGAAGGTCAACCTCCCATAGACAGTTAGGTGTTTTATGATCATTGTTACATTTTGTCTGTTAGTTTCTCCGTCTCCTACTCTTCTGGTAGCGGGTGAACATTCTAGTTTGTTATTCCTCGCTTATATAACACAGTCATCTCTATGACGCTCTGTTCATTCTGAACATTATATTTGTATCTACACGTCTCTCTAACATCATGTCCCTACCATCTGCACGTCTCTCTAACATCATGTCCCTACCATCTACACGTCTCTCTAACATCATGTCCCTACCATCTACATGTCCCTCTAACATCATGTCTCTACCATCTACATGTCCCTCTAACATCATGTCCCTACCATCTACACGTCCCTCGAACATCATGTCCCTACCATCTACACGTCCCTCTAACATCATGTCCCTACCATCTACATGTCCCTCTAACATCATGTCCCTACCATCTACACGTCCCTCTAACATCATGTCCCTACCATCTACATGTCCCTCTAACATCATGTCCCTACCATCTACACGCCCCTCTAACATCATGTCTCTACCATCTACATGTCCCTCTAACATCATGTCTCTACCATCTACACGTCCCTCTAACATCATGTCCCTACCATCTACATGTCCCTCTAACATCATGTCTCTACCATCTACATGTCCCTCTAACATCATGTCTCTACCATCTACACGTCCCTCTAACATCATGTCCCTACCATCTACACGTCCCTCTAACATCATGTCCCTACCATCTACATGTCCCTCTAACATCATGTCTCTACCATCTACATGTCCCTCTAACATCATGTCCCTACCATCTACACGTCCCTCTAACACCATGTCCCTACCATCTACACGCCCCTCTAACATCATGTCTCTACCATCTACATGTCCCTCTAACATCATGTCCCTACCATCTACATGTCCCTCTAACATCATGTCCCTACCATCTACACGTCCCTCTAACATCATGTCCCTACCATCTACATGTCCCTCTAACATTTCACGGTCAATTCCGCACAAACTTATCTAACTTAAATCTCTCCATGTGAAGACATTTGAAATAAATCACTGCCTCATTCCTCAGCATCAGGAAATTCAGCACTATTCCTTCCTACAGAATCCGCCATATTTCCTGACTCATATTCTTCCCTTGTATTTCATTTCCAACGTAGGGCGCCAGAGACTTTCCCAGCGTCCATTACCTCCTTAGGCATTTCCACATTCCTTCACAATCTCCACAAAGAATGCACCCAAGGTTTTTGACATTCATATCTCTTTTTTCATGCATTCATCAGCCAAGCCTCGCCTCTCACTTCAGTACTTTAGAAGGTATTTTTTTCGACTTTGTTATATTGTATTGTTGTGTGTGTTTGTGTCACAGAATGGTGTAAGTGGTGGTGTTGTCTGTGATAAGTGTACCCACAGACCAGAGGAGCCCCATTTGTTCTTTGTTTACCATCACGCGAGTCAAGTTTTATTGCTTTTCCACGATCTCTCCTGCGTCTGCCTCCATATATATGTTAAGCAGCGGGGGAATACACCACTTCTCTCACCACACACGCCACAGTAAACTCCTCCACCCTAAACCACACTCTCCACCTAAACCACACTCTTCACCCTAAACCACACTCTTCACCCTAAACCACACTCTTCACCCTAAACCACACTCTTCACCCTAAACCACACTCTTCACCCTAAACTACACTCTCAACCCTAGACCACACTCTTCACCCTAAACCACACTCTTCACCCTAAACCACACTCTCAACCCTAAACCACACCTTCGATCCTAAGCCACACCTTCGAACCAGAACCACATACTCGACCCTAAACCTAAAAACCACAGCCTAGACCCTAGACTAACTCCCTCAACCGTAAACCGCTCCCCAACTCGTCGACTCCAAATCCCCCTCACAGTCGAGGGCGAGTGAGAGTGACCTCACTCTCGACTCTAAAAGCACTCACCCTTGACCGAAAACCTCTCTCTCCCATGGGCCTATTCATCCTCGAGTAAACCCCCTGACTTCTCAGTGTAAAAAAAAATCTTGCAATAACATCATTAAATTTGGTTCTGGTGCAATGAGCGCAAGATTACTGCATCTTCCAGTTTTCAGCTTCATATACAAGACTCCCCCAACCTGTTGTCCGTTTAGCCGTAATAGGAGGAGGGGAGATTTCTTGCCTAAAGTATTAGTATCGAGTATCTAAATTCCGTGAAATTTATCGCTTATTGCAAATAATTTTCTAAAGATCGCAATGAATGTAATTTTAGCCGTTTGTGAGGGGAGGAACTTTTAATTTGGTCCAGGCAACGCCTGTAGGATAGTTGAGCCATATAATATTAAGCAGAGGATAGCGTAGCTTATGGGGAATAATATACCCCTCTATGCATTTGTGTAAAATGTTTTCATGGGAGGATTACATACACAATTTGGTAAGCATGAAATGATAAGTGTGCTGGTCGAGCTGGTAGGTGTCCGTGGAAAATGCAGAGATATGCATTTTTTTACCAACTTTTGGCAAGAGTAAAGATTATGGGTAAGACCTCACATAAAGGTGCATAAAGTGTTCACTTTATTCCCATCCTCCACCAACGGCTCCACCAGGGAGCCGAGCGGACAGCACGCTGGACTTGTGATCCTGTGGTCCTGGGTTCGATCCCAGGCGCCGGCGAGAAACATTGGGCAGTTTCTTTCACCCTATGCCCCTGTTACCTAGCAGTAAAATAGGTACCTGGGTGTTAGTCAGCTGTCACGGGCTGCTTCCTGGGGGTTGAGGGCTGGTCGAGGACCGGGCCGCGGGGACACTAAAAAGCCTCGAAATTATCTCAAGATAACCTCAAGATACGTCATGATGGCAAGCTGTTAAAATAATACTCTTGTATAACAAACCACTGAAGAACCTTAAAATATAATACTCTACATCACTCATCAGTATAATACTCTACAACACTCATCAGTATAATACTCTACATCACTCATCAGTATACTCTCTACATCACTCATCAGTATAATACTCTACATCACTCATCAGTATAATACTCTACATCACTCATCAGTATAATACTCTACATCACTCATCAGTATAATACTCTACATCACTCATCAGTATAATACTCTACATCACTCATCAGTATAATACTCTACATCACTCATCAGTATAATACTCTACATCACTCATCAGTATAATACTCTACATCACTCATCAGTATAATACTCTACATCACTCATCAGTATAATACTCTACATCACTCATCAGTATAATACTCTACATCACTCATCAGTATAATAATTACAATTGATAAATGCCAAGGATTTGGCTAATTAAATAAAGATGTATAAAAGAAAGCAGTAAAACTCTCCAAAGAGGATTAGGATTAATCTTGTGCCGAGACACTACAGGAACCCACACTAACTCCCTACCCACTTTACTTACAATTTCCGTAACATTCAAGTTATCTGAAGCCAGTAGTGCCTCGGGTATTATGTTTATAATATCATTAAATATTGTGGCTTCGTAAACAGCATAAATACTATGTTAAGATTATACTTCAGATCATCATTTAATACTTATTATAAATTAAATGCTGTGTTTTATCATTTTTTATCATTATTATTATTATTATTATTATTATTATTATTATTATTTCTTTAAAATCAGTGATAGCTAAGGAGGATTCGAACCTTAGACTTGGATTGGCTTCAGTTAGAGCCTTAAGAACTGAACGCAAAAGAAGACTGTTGAACTTTATATAACCTTACCGTGGATGCAGGCGATGAGTCACAATAACGTGGCTGAAGTATGTTGACCAGACCACACACTAGAAGTTGAAGGGACGACGACGTTTCGGTCCGTCCTAGACAATTCTCAAGTCGATTGTGACTTGAGAATGGTCCAGGACGGACCGAAACGTCGTCGTCCCTTCAACTTCTAGTGTGTGGTCTGGTCAACTTACCGTGGATATTAAGAGGGGAAACAGAAGCAATATGTCTCTCACTCTCTGTGGTGTACCATAGGTCATTGGAAGCAGGAGACCTACCAGAAAGTTGGAAGAGAGGCTGGAAGCACTGAACTACAGGCCTGTCTCCCCAACTCATACAAGTTGATGGAGATAATCTTGAGAAAAAAGCAAGTGACTCATCTAGGGAGAAGGTACTTTCTAACATCCTTCCAAGATGGGTTCAGAGATGGTAAATCGTGCCTCACAGGTTTAATAGAATTCTATGACCGGGCGACAACAATTAGGCAAGGAAGAGAATGACAAGCTTCCTAGGTTGTAATGCTGTACTCAAAGGTTCTAGTGACACTATTGCTTTCTTGCTTAGAATTTTAAACTCAGTGATATTCTGATCCTAGTTATTACGACAAGAGTTGTCCAAGACGCTGTGTGTACTACTGTCTGCTCAGCAGTGTTACCTGCTGCTTGTACTACTGTCTGCTCAGCAGCGTTACCTGCTGCTTGTACTACTGTCTGCTCAGCAGTGTTACCTGCTGCTTGTACTACTGTCTGCTCAGCAGCGTTACCTGCTGCTTGTACTACTGTCTGCTCAGCAGTGTTACCTGCTGCTTGTACTACTGTCTGCTCAGCAGCGTTACCTGCTGCTTGTACTACTGTCTGCTCAGCAGCGTTACCTGCTGCTTGTACAACTGTCTGCTCAGCAGCGTTACCTGCTGCTTGTACAACTGTCTGCTCAGCAGCGTTACCTGCTGCTTGTACTACTGTCTGCTCAGCAGCGTTACCTGCTGCTTGTACAACTGTCTGCTCAGCAGCGTTACCTGCTGCTTGAACAACTGTCTGCTCAGCAGCGTTACCTGCTGCTTGTACTACTGTCTGCTCAGCAGCGTTACCTGCTGCTTGTACTACTGTCTGCTCAGCAGCGTTACCTGCTGCTTGTACAACTGTCTGCTCAGCAGCGTTACCTGCTGCTTGTACTACTGTCTGCTCAGCAGCGTTACCTGCTGCTTGTACTATGGTCTGAAAACACTAGGATTTTCTGCTTACAAAATGACATAATTATTACCTTATCAAACATGGGGTTTAGCTGGTAATGTAATATAAAATATCTTGTATATGTATCGATTCGTTGACGTAGTTATCTATAATTGGATTCATTTTCCTGTCAAATTATCTGTCTGTCCATCTGGTAATTTGATATAATTATTTCATTAAATCATATCGCATATGATTACCAAATTTTTTTTCGATATTTTTTTTTATTTGCTAGCTTCCTATTGGCTGAGCTTCAGGTCTTTCCGGGACACATCAATCCCGGACACATCAACACCACTCATCATGTGGATGATGAGTGAAGCTCAGTTTTAAGAGACTATAAACACTGTTAATTTACGAGATAGTTTCCTCCCTGTGAACCAGGATGACAGCGATGCTGGGTGGTGAACACCGTCTTGTAATTGACGCGGTGATCTCGGTGCACAATCTTGTTCACATCAACAGTTAGCCTATTGTCACGTAAAGGATAACGTGGTGCATATGGAACAAAATGGAATAAAATGTAAAGGATTAGAGGTTCCTATCGTGGAGAATGGAAATGAAATGGTTTGATGTATATATATATATATATATATATATATATATATATATATATATATATATATATATATATATATATATATATATATATATATATATATGCATGTACACAATCAGCAGCTAACAGTGTTGGTTAGTAGAATTGGTAAATAAGATCATGCCCGTGTGGTTTTCCAACGCGTACAAAATAAACGTTTGTCAAATCGTGAACGCGAAAAAGAGGACAAGAAAGAATAAAAAGTGAAGCAAATGGATGTATTTTCAACACAGATATCCTCTTCTGGGGCTAAAGTTGACAGTGATTCTTGTGTAGTGACGGAGGCGGCGAGGGGAGTCAGTTAGTGTTAGCTCCGTCCTCTTGTTATTCCCAGACAAACTTGTGTCTGGTGGTGGCCAGGCTCCCGGGTGTGTGTGTGTGTAGCGATATGGCTGCTGGGAGAGGCGGCGGAGGGGCTACCAAACATTCCAAGCAAACACACACACGTTAAAAAGAAACCCTGCAGAGTTGATCCAATAAATGGCTACTGTAGTTCAACACCAGCAAGTGTAAAAAGATGGAAATGGAACAGATGACAGGAGACCAAAGGGATAGTGCAGAATGAAGGGGAAACTATCACCCTGTAATAACTCGAGAAAAAGACCTGGGAGTGGACATAACACCAAACCTAACTCCTGAGTCTCATATAAATAGGATAAGGTCAGCAGCGAACAAGAGGCAAGACATCATTCAGGAACCTAAATATGGAGGCTTTTAGATCTCTGTACACCACCTACGTGAGACCAGTTTTAGAGTATGCTGCCCCATCGTGGAACCCCACCGAAAAACAAAACAAGGAAACCAAAAACTTTAGAAGTTTGCGACGAGGCTCGCCTCAGAATTACGAGGGTTGGGGTAAGAAGAGAAAGTGAAAGAACTGAACTTCACACTAGAAAAGAGTAGAGAAATTGGAGACATGATAGCGACGTATAAAATACCTAGGGGGATTGCCAGAGTGGAAAAAATAGGAAATGTTCAAAATGAATACCTATAATACAAGATGACATGAATGGAAGTTTGAGAATTAAGATAATTCAAAGAGATGTTAGGAAGTTTTCTTCTAGCATAAGAATAGTCGGAAGATGGTATGAACTTAAGGACCAGGTTGTAGAAACAAATTATTCATAAATTTAAAAGTAGATATGAAAGAGAAAGTGTGTGTGTGTGTGCGTGTGTTAGAGAGAAATATATGTAGTAGATGTAATAGAAGAAAAATAGATTGGTTAGAAAGGCGGGGTTCAAGAGCTAATAGCTCGATTCTGCAGACAAAAATAGTAAACACACACACATAGTAACATATCAACAAGTGTGGCGGGATGAACACGAACGACCGTTCGTAAATACCTTTACACATAACCAATACATTTGCATTAACAAATACAAATAAAACAGCAGAAGAAAATTTTTCATAAGTACACAAACACCTGCACATATATTTTGCTATACATATTTAAACGAAATGTAGAGCTGTTGTTCCTCACAAGTGTTGACAGCTCCCTCACAAGTGTTGACATCTCCCTCACAACTGTTGACATCTCCCTCACAACTGTTGACAGCTCCCTCACAACTGTTGACATCTCCCTCACAACTGTTGACATCTCCCTCACAACTGTTGACATCTCCCTCACAGCTGTTGACATCTCCCTCACAGCTGTTGACATCTCCCTCACAACTGTTGACATTTCCCTCACAACTGTTGACATCTCCCTCACAACTGTTGACAGTCACTCACAACTGTTGACATCTCCCTCACAGCTGTTGACAGCTCCCTCACAACTGTTGACAGCTCCCTCACAACTGTTGACATCTCCCTCACAACTGTTGACATCTCCCTCACAACTGTTGACAGCTCCCTCACAACTGTTGACATCTCCCTCACAGCTGTTGACAGCTCCCTCACAACTGTTGACAGCTCCCTCACAACTGTTGACATCTCCCTCACAACTGTTGACATCTCCCTCACAACTGTTGACAGCTCCCTCACAACTGTTGACATCTCCCTCACAGCTGTTGACAGCTCCCTCACAACTGTTGACAGCTCCCTCACAACTGTTGACATCTCCCTCACAACTGTTGACAGCTCCCTCACAACTGTTGACAGCTCCGTCACAACTGTTGACAGCTCCCTCACAACTGTTGACATCTCCCTCACAACTGGTAACAACCTCTCACAACTGGTAACAACCTCTCTCACAACTGGTAACAACCTCTCTCACAACTGGTAACAACCTCACAACTGGTAACAACCTCTCTCACAACTGGTAACAACCTCACAACTGGTAACAACCTCACAACTGGTAACAACCTCACAACTGGTAACAACCTCACAACTGGTAACAACCTCTCTCACAACTCTGTGCTACACTGTGATGTTTGAACACGTTTGCTGGCAGAATAAATATCAGAAGTCACATATACTGGAATTGCTTGACTTTGAGCAGAAATGTTATAACCGCAGTTGTTTAAAAACAATTCACATTCTCATGAGCCATGTACAGTGATGGTGTTGGAAACACTATCCTCGTGTTTCACTTTACATTTGTTGGAGCAAATAGCTATTTACCATTTTGTATTACAAATGTTTGTGGTAGGATAGAGTATTAAATAAAAAAATACCTGGATGCAAATAATACAGTATGAATGGGCATGAACTACAGCCAGGAGATATATGAAATGCTTGTTACTGGCAGGTATTTTGTGTGGGTCACGGAATTTGTACATTCTGAACCGTCAAATGTTTGCTCAGTTCTGGGTGTGTGTGTGTGTGTCAAGGGAAGGGTGATAGCCACTTGTATTCTCTCTCTCGGCAGAAATGTTACTGCAATACCGACTCAAATATTTTCCCAGACAATTCTCTGCTGCATTTTCTACGATTCTGCAGTAAATGTTGCTTTTGGGCTGCAGGGATCGATAGTCACAACACCAGGTCAGAAAATGCTGTGAATTTATGTAAGTATTGAGGACTGTGAGACGCTAACAGTAGTGGCAGTTGTATTGTGCTCGCTTGATCAGTGGAAGCACAACAGCCGACAAGAGCACAACAGAGAAAGCACTTTACCCATTTTATTATTTCATGATTTTGAAAATCCATTGTCGGCCGTGGTTTCATTCAGCGCCGACAAAAAGAGAATAACTTTTACTGTGTTGATGGTCCCCCGATCCTGGCTTAATAGCCGTGTTTTTTTCCTTTGTGTTTTTTAGCTCTAAAGAGACAATTTGGTTTAATTATCTTGTGTTTACATATATATATATATATATATATATATATATATATATATATATATATATATATATATATATATATATATGTGTGTGTGTGTGTGGCAGTTTTTCACAGGTATGATAGCCATTTGTTAGAAGTGTCACCTCCCCGCCGCCTCCTGGTGGCAACACTTGTCCCCCGTAAGTGGCAACTTCACACAGCTATAGTGTTGCCGTAGCTGCCGCCCCCGGCAGCACTAACAAAAACAACGGCTTCGCCATTGTCAACACAGGAAGCAACACGAGAGTGTTCGTGTTTCCTCCCGGTGAATCCAGAGAGAGTTCGCCTGCACACGTGCGGATTGAATACGGATTATTTATGCCCCATCAAGCTGTGCATGCAATGCTGTTCCGGTGTCTGATTAGCAGCTCTACGGAGTACACCTGTCCTTATGGTTAGCAGCTCTACGGAGCACACCTGTCCTTATGGTTAGCAGCTCTACGGAGCACACCTGTCCTTATGGTTAGCAGCTCTACGGAGTACACCTGTCCTTATGGTTAGCAGCTCTACGGAGTACACCTGTCCTTATGGTTAGCAGCTCTACGGAGTACACCTGTCCTTATGGTTAGCAGCTCTACGGAGTACACCTGTCCTTATGGTTAGCAGCTCTACGGAGTACACCTGTCCTTATGGTTAGCAGCTCTACGGAGTACACCTGTCCTTATGGTTAGCAGCTCTACGGAGTACACCTGTCCTTATGGTTAGCAGCTCTACGGAGTACACCTGTCCTCATAATCAGGACCTCTATGGAGTACACCTGTCCTCACTATAAACCTCACAGGCTGCCATAAGAAATCTTCAAACCAATGTTTTCTGATCTCTGGAACTACAATGTGTCATTCACTTTAGAATCTGGTAAACTGCGATCTAAATAACTGTGGTGAACTATCGGCCGGGAACCTATTCATCACGTCAAATGAGCTTCCATTCGTTTCTAAGTTAAACATCATTCTCAGATAATGATGTCTTTAGACTCGTGTCAAGGTGTCAGACAGCATCATATTTACACATTCATTCTGTCAGCCATTTTACTAATTCACCGTCTGGGAATTTGGAAAAAAAAAGTGTCGTCAACAAATATGTGACGCCTGACGCTTCGTGTGTTGACTGGTGTTGACTGTTGACAGTGCTGGTGCCTGTCTGTGACTGCTCCAGCAGCAGGGTAACACGACGACTTGTTTGGCTACTCTGTGATTTATGTCTAGAAACGTAACTGGTCAAGGCGAAGATAGTGAAGTCTGCTTACAATCATTTCCCCTTCCAGTAGGCTTATTCATCCCACCTCCCTCACACACGATCACCTATTCATTTGAGCACACAAATCTACCCAGTGTGTAAAATTTTCTTCGACCATCTTGAGTTCCTCCACATGTGATCAGATTCAAATATAATTATAAGATTCCATACAATCAAATCCCAAATGGATGCATCTGCCAGAGTAACTTGATTTTGTCTGTGTCCCTAATTTTCTGTTCTTCAAATGCACCGCACAGGAACGTTAGTGTTACTTTTAACTGGCTAGTTTCCTCTGTGTGTTTACATTTGACACAGCAGTCTCGGCTGTAACATAAGATAACGGTGGACAACATCAAATAATAGCCAGAAACAGCAGCAAATAACAGCCAGAGATAGCAGAAAATAACGGCCAAAAACAACTGCAAATAACAGCTAGAGACAGCTGCAAATAACGGCCAGAGATAGCAGAAAATAACGGCCAAAAACAACTGCAAATAACAGCTAGAGACAGCTGCAAATAACGGCCAGAGATAGCAGAAAATAACGGCCAAAAACAACTGCAAATAACGGCTAGAGGCAGCTGCAAATAACGGCCAGAGATAGCAGAAAATAACAGCCAGAGACAACTGCAAATAAGATTCAAAGGAAACGGCAAATAACAGGCAGTGGAAACGGCAAATAATAGCGGGGGAGAGACCACCAAGCACGATTGGACAGTCTTCACACACACAGCGAAATAGATATTGAGAACATTTGAGCATGAAATGCCAATGAGGGCAAGTGACCATTGTGTATTGGTCTTTGATTATGGAGTTGTTATGAAGGGGATGGCAAGAGGTGAGTGGAAGACTAGCGTCCATAAAGGCGAGGACCAGAAGGTCAGAGGATGCTCAGAGAGAACACAAGGGGACATAGAACCAGGAGAAACAAACAAGACAAGACATGGACTACACAACGACATGGACTACACAACATGGACTACACAAAGATGCTGAATATGAGGGTAGAAATAGCCTAAGCTACTTTATCCTTTTGAGATATATTTCATTATCTCAATAAACTTACTTGAACTTGACTTGAAGAAGCTAAAGGAAGATTTATATAGCCCTTAAGAGATAAAGGAGCCAAGATAAAAAAATGCCCAGGGTTTAATATACAATACTTAAGAGGGAAAAGAACTAAAAGAGCTTAGAAAAATGCGGGCACAGATCAGACCAGCAACATATATTTAAGAGAGAGGAATGAACACACATGAATGCTGAGAGCAGCAGAGAAGCAGCATGAAAATGATGCAGCGTCCAAAGCCAAGGAATCAGCTTAAACTTCTATATAACCACATAAGGAGGACGACGTCGGTAACTGAACAGATGATCAGGCTACACAAACTAGGAGGCCACACAGAGAATAGTGTGGGAGTGTGCGAACTCAATTAAAGCTTACAAAAAGTTATTTAAAAGATAGAACCAGAGCTTCTCCCAGATCTAAGATTTCCAATGGAACAGACACTCCCAGAAGATAGATTGATTAGAATAAAAGAGTCGAGTAGATGCTCGACCCAGTAGGAGCCGGTCGGCCGAGCGGACAGCATGCTGGACTTGTGATCCTGTGGTTCTGGGTTCGATCCCAGGCGCCGGCGAGAAACATTGGGCAGAGTTTCTTTCACCCTATGCCCCTGTTATCTAGCAGTAAAATAGGTACCTGGGTGTTAGTCAGCTGTCACGGGCTGCTTCCTGGGGGTGGAGGCCTGGTCGAGGACCGAGCCGAGGACCGGGCCGCGGGGACACTAAAAAGCCCCGAAATCATCTCAAGATAACCCAGCAAGTACAAGCAGCTCAGCACACGCCTATAGACAACATAACCGTCAGCTGTATCTTATACCGAAACACAACATTGACACTCTAGTTCTTAATGAATCCATCCAAACACAAAGAAACTTTCGGTGTGGCATCTTTCATGTCTGCATTGTGAGTGTATGTGGTTAGCTTGAGGTTATCTTGAGATGATTTCGGGGCTTTTTAGTGTCCCCGCAGCCCGGTCCTCGACCAGGCCTCCACCCCCAGGAAGCAGCCCGTGACAGCTGACTAACACCCAGGTACCTATTTTACTGCTAGATAACAGGGGCATAGGGTGAAAGAAACTCTGCCCAATGCTTCTCGCCAGCGCCTGGGATCGAACCCAGGACCACAGGATCACAAGTCCAGCGTGCTGTCCGCTCGGCCGACCGGCTCCCCGGTCGTGGCACAAGTGGAAGAGAAGTGATGCGGCAGCCTGCACACTGTGTCACCACCAACCCCATCCTCATCCTGATGCTGGGCACGAGCTGTTAGGTGGCAGTATAATAGAGAGAAAGGTCTCTACGGGTGTTTAATAAATTCACCTGACATATGTGCTGACCTTTACAAAGTGGCGCTATGCACTATGTGGTGTACGATGACTACTGTTGCGTGTCGGTGTTCAGTCACGGTCAAGAACACAACTAAATTCCAACACAAATTTGAAATATAAAAGTTAGAATATCTTACCATAGTTCTCGTGTTTATGTTATATATCATAGAATATATCATAGTATATATCATAGTATATATCATAGTATATATCATAGTATGTAACACTTTCAAGAGATAATTTCTTTGAAAGTGTACTTCCCTCGACAGCTGAAGGCTTCAGTAAGTGGAGGGTGAGAGCATCTGAGACGAGCTTCACAAAGGACGAGCTGTTTGTATGCTTCAACATTCCAAGACGTGGTCTAGTTGCTGTCATGGCTCTAGGACGACCACCGACTGCTTCTTGAGGAGAACGCCATGCAAGCTACAAAATTGTGCATCAGTTTCATTTTTTTTACTTGGCGGAATTCATCTCCTGTTTGTTAGGTTGGATTGTCTTGTGTCGGCGCTTTTGTCTCTATGTTGTATCGACACGGATGGCCATTTTTGTTTCCGTATCCGGAGATTATCTTCCTTCCATGTCCCCCTTGTGACCCGGTCTTCTCCACGTGACCCGGTGTTCCCCCTCGTGACCCGGTCTTCTCCTCGTGACCCGGTGTTTCCCACACCGGTCCATGGCGCCTTCGGATTTTTCAATATTTTCCTGTAAGACAAGAGCGGGGGGAGAAGGTGTAAACAGGTTCTTAAGCACATTATGTCATGGTGTTGTCGGGTCGCTCGCCGCCTGCGTGTTCTGGTTTTACGACCCTCTTGTTGCGGGTTTACGGGTTTACACAAATATTTACGTTAGTAACTACGAGTAAACTTTCGCAATACTTCTAAAAAAAATACCAAAAATATTTGCTATTTTTCCTCTACTTTGACCTTGTTGTCTGTGTATACTTACATAGCAATAATTAAGTAGGATAGCTTTAAGAGCCAAGCTTCAGCTTTTGGGTTCCGCGTTTCTAAATATTTGTTATCTGATGCAATTGCTCTCTCCCCCCCACCCCACCTCCCCACCTCCCCTTTTATCATTGAATATTTAAACCAATTAATGGAGTAATCTGCAAGTAATTAATCTTACTTCCCTCATGCTGGAGACTTCCTTCCTAGAAAATACAACATAACAATGACCTAGCAACGTTGTTATTACGTCTTTGCAACGAAATAACGTTTGGTGTTAGACTCCTGACGTCCCTGTTGGTAATTTGCATATGCCATTTCTCGTTAAATGTTTCTTATTTTGAACTTTCTTTAATTTTCAACTATCTTGACCCTGGTATTTGTCTCCTATGGCTTTCCTATCTTCACACTTTTGAGAATATTTCGTGTAATCGCCTAGTTGGGCTGACGTAGGTTGAGCCAGGGAGTACCAGGATGAAGGTGTAGATGAAGGGGCAGATCTTCCTGCTATTGACATATTTGCCTTTGAAATTTTCATATCCCGTCTTCTTTACTACAGTTCTTCATTTCTGTGCTATTATAAGTTTCGTTTTCTTTCTTTATTTTGATGTGATTGAAGTCGCCACCCTGGAAACACAAACCGAAACTGCCTCTATTCTCCGCTTGTTACAACTTGTAATAAAGTTGTTACATCTTGGCTTAACGTGTTTATGACGTATTAGAACGTTGTTACAACTTGCTATATTGGTTGTTATAACTGGTTAGGAGGTGTTAAAACTTGTTCGAACGTTGTACAAACGTCGTAGTTTCGGTGTGTGTTTGGCGGGAGTGATTAATTAAGATTCGAACTCTATTTCTACTTCCAACTGATTCCTCCCCATTCCAAGGTTTTTGTTTGATTAATGGGCAAAAATACACATCAGTTAAAGATATTAAGGCAAGAATACAGTTCCGTCAAGAGTACTTTTCCGTTAAGAATACCATTCCTTCAAGAATACCGTTCCGTGGAAAATATTAACACCGTTAAATCCCTAGCATCCGTTTGTTTTGTGGTAAAGTAAACGCCACCTATGTGGAGCTGTCTGTGGAAAAACGCAAGATAGATTAGGGTGTGTCTTGAGGTAAAAGCACACAAGAGATGACAAATACGGTGAGCTGAAGGTGGCGATGTTGGCCGCTGAGGCGCGGCTCTCAGCATCCATCAGGGGCGACGGTGCTGACACCAGACAAAGCAATTCATTCCTCCTCGCTGACACCTCACACCAAGGCAACTTTATCTGGTGCTCGGCAGAAAGATACGCTGCTTGTAGAATTTCAAATTGTGTTGTGAAGGGATGTCTTCTTCAGTCAACCCGTCACTCTTTTAAGGTTATTTGAGGCGATCAACTTTGTTTTGGTTGAACTAGAGTGACTGTATGTCTGGGGCAGAGTCGGTGTGTGTGTGTGTGTGTGTGTGTGTGTGTGTGTGTGTGTGTGTGTGTGTGTGTGTGTGTGTGTGTGTGTGTGTGTGTGTGTGTGTGTGTGTGTGTGTGTGTGTGTGTGTGTGTGTGTGTGTGTGTGTGTGTGTGTGTGTGTGTGTGTGTGTGTGTGGGTGTGGGTGTGTGTGGGTGTGTGCACTCATGGATTTCTACTTATCAAATTGTGCATCAAGTATAGAGGCTCACGAAACATTTGTTTAATTTTTTAACATTTCTGGTTTAAAACTGTAAATAGTGTTCAGTATAATTACCTTATATAACACATTCTACTTCTCTGATGCTTTCTATCAATCCTGTGACTTCCTGTGTTGTAAAGTAAAGTTCCCTCTTTACTTTCCGCATTTTTCAACACTTTCAGCCTTGCGCCAGTCTTGTGGCAAATCGCTGGACTTTTTTTTATATTGCCTCTGATTCTTTAGATGGAATGTCTACGCAACTTCTGCATGTTCCAATACTGGTCTCACATAGGTACTGACTAACGAAATAAGAGCTTCTTGGTGTAGTTTCTCAAATTCTACTTGGGTTATCGATGTTGGACATGTCTCCGACGGTCTGTTGATATGTGCTTTTGGTGTTGGGAATTAATTAACTGGATGTCTATTCCTAGTTCATTTTCCTTTTTTTTTTTATCAGACCGCTGCCTCCCGTTCATAGTCCTTGGGGGTCTTCACACATTTCTTCCCACTCTCATCACTTTACAGTTCTCCGAGTTGAAGTCCAACAACCATTAACAGGAACCGTTCTTTATCTTGTTAGTAATTTTGTAATGATCTCCATCTCCTTGACCTTCAGTGGACCTGGGGCAGGCTCTTAACTGACCGGCTGTCCTACAGTTTCATATTTTCTTAGATACGTCTTTGTGTGTTCCTATTGACTTTTTCTCTGTATTGTTACCTGTTCCTTTATTTTCGTATTTATATATTTCTCTGTCTTTGTGCCTTTGCTTATTTACGTCTGTATAACAGAAAGGTAGTTAGTTTAGTTCATTTATTATGCACCCCATACCCATCTTGTGGGCGGTAGTAGAAAGGGTTACAGAGGCACATAATTGACTCAGGGACTGAACCCCACAATTCATTTATATGACCAAGAAAGACGCAGATTTACGTCGTATTGATAATGTTTGAGTTTGTTAAGAGAGATGAATGACTGACTGAAGGCAACTTTCAGACAGTATAGTCCTCTAAAGGTATCGTCAGTCACAACTTAGTACCCAAATGAGCCACAGGGACATTAGACAGAAATGTTTCAGTGTCGGAGTAGTTAACAGATGGAATGCTTTAGGTAGTGATGTGGTGGAGGCTGACTCCATACACAGTTTCAAATGTAGATTTGGTAAGAGCCCAGTAGGCTCAAGAGTCTGTACACCAGTTGATTGACAGTAGAGAGGCGGGACCAAAGAGCCTAAGCTCAACCCCCGCCAGCACAACTAGGTAAGTACAAATGTTACTGCGGAAGTTAGAGACCTTGTTTCGTAAGATAATTTTCGATGCTGTAAAATTTTTAACGCGGAAGGACTGGTAAATGCTTTGACATTTGAAAAGGTGAGCGCGGACCTGGCGCCCGTCGCACACAGGGAACCAGGAGTGTCATACATGCCCGTGTATACTGACCAGGTGTGTGTGTGTATGTGTAAACATGCATGCTTTCATGTATCAACTCCTATTTGCATGTATACTCAAGCATGCAATGCACGGAGAGAGAGAGAGAGAGAGAGAGAGAGAGAGAGAGAGAGAGAGAGAGAGAGAGAGAGAGAGAGAGGAGAGAGAGAGAGAGAGAGAGAGAGAGAGAGAGAGAGAGAGAGAGAGAGAGAGAGAGAGAGAGAGAGAGAGAGAGAGAGAGAGAGACGGAATTTGGTTTAATAAACTAACGAGGGGGGGGGAGGGGTGGAAGGGTAGTATCAATTCTACCCCATAAATATAATTAAATTGTCAATATTCTTCCAACATAAATATAATTCAATATAACTACCCCCATTCACATCCCTGCTGTGAACTAGCTAACATGTAATCTTCCCCAAAATATTTAATTGGTTAGATTGCTCAACAAGGAAAGGCTATGGGAGCTAAACCTCACGTCCCTGGAAGACAGGAGAGTATGGGAAGACATGATCACCACCTACAAAATTCTCATGGGAATAAACAGGGTGGACAAAGAAAAACTATTAAGCACGGGTGGAACACAAACAAAGGGACACAGGTGGAAACTTGGTACCCAAATGAGCCTCAGAGACACTAGAAATATTTTTTTCAGTGTCAGAGTAGTTAACAAATGGAATGCATTAGGCAGTGATGTGGTGGAGGCTGACTTCATACACAGTTTCAAATGTAGATATGATAGAGCCCAGCAGGCTCAGGAATCTGTACACCAGTTGATTGACAGTTGAGAGGCGGGACCAAAGAGCCAGAGCTCAACCCCCGCAAATACAACTAGATGAATATACACACGCTCGCGCGCGGGAGCATTGACTATTTCCCCCCTTTGTTGCAATACGGAAATACTTTATATCCATATTTCCTGCTCCCGGTCATCGTTTTGTTGGGGAGAGCGAGACTGGGAGGGTTGGGTGGGGGGGGGGGGGGGGGGGGAGAGTGAGGGTATACGTGGGGGAGTGTTAATAGAAAGAGGAGGGGCGGGCAAAACAACCTTCGCTCGCACTCAAAGTATCGACATTTTAACGCTATCGGTCAATGTCAAAATGCTATCAATGCTTTAGTGAAATTATTAACACTATAGTATTAATATTTTTTTCGGACTAATGAACATCGGTTAAGTGGGTAGTCTTGGCCGGGACGTTCCTTAGAACAAACTATTCATATTGACGCTTGTATATAGTATCAGGGGGGCCCCCCTGGTCTCTCTCTCAGGTGTCATCCAATTTTACCCTGGGCTTTCACCTCGTCAGGGAGCTGCCGATAAAATAAAAACAAAAATGAAAAAGTATAATATCCTT